AATGGATTTGAAATTACTAATAAGTTTAACATTATTTACGGTGATGCTCCCCCACCCCAGTGGCACAGAGGTATGTCTGCGGACTTATAACGCTAGAATCCGGGTTTCGATACCCGTGGTGGGCAGAGCACAGATAGCCCATCGTGTAGCTTTGTGCTTAAGTACAAACAAACAATTTACGGTGACCTATTACATTTTATTTCTCTGCACAAACCATAATAAAAATCAAAACGTCAGTACGAGCCAAGAATGGTTAACTTTTCTCCTGATTATTTTGAAACTATACTCGCCTTGCTAACTGATGATATTAACGCAATTAGAACATATGTTGTCACAAATGTTATTAAATTATAGGGAGAGAGAGAGAGACAGAAACCTGTACTGTTGTTGTTTCTTTATGATATATTTTTGTCTGCTTAAGATGTTATGGATCTGTTTCAATGGAATTTCCTGAAAACTGGGCTTAGGTTAAATTTCACGTTTTTTTTTTCAAATTGTTTCGTATTTTAGTTCATCAAAATTATGCTGGAGCAGACGTCGAGAAAGTTCCTTTCTTTCTGTCCGTAGTTCTCATTGATTCTAATACCCAAGGTCTTCAGCAATACAGAGCCATCTTGTGGCGAAAGACGGTGAGTTATCTCATAAGAGTATCTCATAATTTTTTGTTGTTGTTTATAATTAAACGAGATTTTATTGTAAATTTTGACTTTACGCTATAATGAGATTGTTTTTAAACAAAGCTTTCATTGGCTGATTTTTAGTTATAAATACACTGCTAAAAGCTCTAAATTAACTAGCCTTTCCTTTTATAAAGGGAAAGTTCCATCATTCTTGAAAGTAGCTTGTAAACTATGTGGTGAGAAGAAGTGTTTAAGTCAAGCCATGTTATATTTCTTCTATCACGTAGGGTATACGAACAAGAACAATCACATTCACGGTAGATGAAGCTTAGAAAAATAATAATTTTTAATGTATGACTACTTGTTCTTGTATGTGGAACTTAAAAACTTTTTTTTTTTACTAAAGTGTTTTCTTTTATAGCAAAGCCACATCGGGCTAGTCGCTGTGTATACGGGAGGGAATCGATCCCCTGATTTTAGTGTTGTAAATCCGTAGACTTACCGCTGTCCCACCGGTGGACTTTTTTGGTAGAGAGATCCTTCTAAAATATTAACAAACTAATCTCGTAAGAGGAAGAAATGTAGTTATGTTTGTGGATTTGTTTGGTTGAGAGCAACGCTGCACAGTGAGCTATCTGTTCGCCGCGGGATCGAATTCTGATCTTTTACGTTATAAGCCCTCAAATATTAGGGTCATACTTTTTTCTTCAGATGATGTAGCAAACTGGAACTCAACTTATCCTTACAAATATAAACGTATTACATGAAAAAAAAAACTTTACGAAGTTGATTTTGCGTGTGTGTAGTTGTTTCTAACGCAGCCGAAAAAACTGATTCTACTTTTCAATAAAGCATGACTTGAACACTGTAGGCAGTTAATAACCGCTGACAAGAATATACATATATAAACTAAACTTAACTTTCACGTGTATATGAACGAATGAAGAACTTTTAGCAATAATTAGTGCTAAGGGATTCCTGACTGCCTGGATTCCCGTGATATATTTATGTGGATAACCTCAATGGTTAATTATACGAGTCCAGTAATAGTGGCTTAACCTCAGTGCCCCACAAAGGTGACCGCTATATCATATACATTGCTACTGAAATAAATCGATTCTGAGAAAAATCATTAATTCTAAAATTGTATTTGTACCTCAGAAAGGACAATGGTAAGTCTTCGGATTTATAACGCCAAAATCAGGGGTTCGATTCCCCCTCGGTGGATACATCAGATAGCCACACAGACACACGCCTCAGAGCCCCCCCCCCCCACCCAGTGGAACGAGCGGTATGTCTACGGACTTACAACACTAGAAACCAGGTTTCG